GAATACAGCCTCTATCATTTATACACATATGCACAAATCGCTTTTGACATTTGCTTCCTACAATATTTCAGAGTTTATTCTGAAGATTTCCAGAGTACAACACAAAATTTTGTTATATATACCTTTAAAATTGGTTTCTATATAAATTTATACGCATTCCTAATGTTGTACTGAGAGGTCATAAAAAAAATCGATGTTTGGCCGCGGAGTAAGATATTTGACCTGTCGATGAGAAATTGGACCGCTTACGTTAAAATTGTGGGCGGGATCAGTTAAATTTCATTTGCAATCGTTGGTGTTCGACAGTGACGAAATTGACCAATTTTAACCGCAGTGTAATTTAAGTAAATTTACATCATGGAAGCCTGCACAAGATACAAAGGTATAACAAAACATTTATTGACTAGGTTCTCGGGCAAAATGCGTTTTGTTGACCCATCGAATGGTTAAATAAAGGCCCCAGAGTGAGACAAACAGTTTGGTTTTTGGGTCCGACAATATACGTACAAATAAAAGATTAATTTATATGATTTTAAAACGAGAGAGAGAGGGTGGGGGGCAGAGTGAGAGAGAAATGCGTAACGTATATTTAATAGTACGTTTATTATAAGTATCCGATTATTCTAATTCAAGCAAGAGTTTGATTTTTAAAAGCTAGACTATTTTTTATGCGAATTACTTGGTTTGTTTTTAAGATTGCATTAAAACTTTTAACACTATTTTATAAATGTCAGATTCCCTATAAAATTTTATGAGAAAGCATTAAAGATATTTTCAAAATGTATTTGAAATTTTAATTAATAGATAACATTGAAAGGGCAAATTCCCCAGCCCATTCTCGCGACGCCATTCACGAATTTATCTAAGCAAAGTGTGTTTAAAACGTTTCTGTCTTGTCATCTGAAAAAGTTTCAAAAAAAAAAACAACTGAAAAAGTACTGTCATTCGATTAATAATTTTATATGTCTCCAGATGGTTCTGTTCAAATGCACGAATCAAGTATCCCCCCCCCCCCAACAAGCTGTAGCACTTCTCTTGGATAGTTGGCATCGGCAACCTTCTATCGAATTTTCTTTAGCAACTTTCACCAACTTAGTATAGCTTCTCAAAAAAAAAAAATGAATAAATTAAAAAATAAATAAATAAATAAATATAATAAAAATAAACATGTATAAACATTTACTCTTTTGAAGAACACTTTTACGATCTTTTTTTTAAATACGTAAATATAATTATAAATAACTACTGTTGCTTGAAGTTTCGACTTTGTTGCTTGAAGTTTTGCTCAATATGAGCCTATCTTTAAGTAAGTATTGTGAGCCTTTGATACCAAACCTATGGAGAAAATGAATATAGGCACTTTCAATCCATTTCAGGTAGAGCTCTCGCGCCGTGATCGGAAGGTCGTGTGTTCAAATCACGGCTGCGACCGACCTAAGTCGATAAAAAATAGGTAGCAACTGTTCCTTCGTCAAGCGCTCGGCACTTTGAAGTGAAAGTTGCGGGTCTTTCGGATGAGACGTAAAAACCGAGGCCCCGTGTCACGGTAGGTTCAAACTTTTTTTCATTTTTTTTTTCCACAACCAATTTTCCCCCAATACACTAAATTCCTAAACTTTACCTATGCTACAGCAAATAGATGTGGGGGGGGGGGGGGTGGCTAGTCTTTTAATGAACATTTTTAAAATTCGGAAAAAAGTGGGAAGGGGCCCTGCGTCCCTGATTCTTCGTGCCTGATAAATAACTTGTTTTCAGACTTGTCCACACTGACAAATAATTATGTTCCACAGTACTTATATTGTGTGATACACTTACACTGCCGTAATGGGGTAAAAGAATTTTCTATACAGGTAACATTGTGAAAAGTGAACCCATCATCCGATACAGCTTTTTTTTATTTTTTTTTTTTGGTCCGTAATTCCTTTTTGGACCTTTCTGTCGCTTTCTCATTCCAGTCTTCTTTTAACTTCACTGGATCCTCGACAGATAAGAAATTACAACTCTGGTATATGTGGAATGATCTCAAGTAGAATATACGGGTAAAAAATAAAGAGCCATAGCTGCCTCTCAGACGACACGGCTGACTCAAGAATGTAAAAGGAAATCACCTGATTCTATATATAGATATACCTTTTCAATTCAAGATCAAACTATGTAATATGATTTGAGGACGAGTGTTATATTTTCGTAGTTGCACGTATGTCAATTGACAATCATTTAATTTGTTCAGTACTCAAATTCTGAGACAAAAGATTTATAAAATCAATAAAAATAAAACAAGTAGCTATGAATTTGCAAACTTTAATAAAATAGTTTAGGACTGTTTTTTTTTCGAGCTACTTTCAAAGTGTATATTGTGTATATTATAACTTTCTGAACTTATGTATATCATAAAACGTAATAAAGAAAAACGTAGAAAAGATACACAAAGAAAAACAAATTTAAGAAAGCATAAATGGAAAAAATGTGGGACTTGAACTCGCTATCACCATATTTACATTCCAGCAATCATACCATTGCGCCAACGAAGTCAATGACGTTGAATGAATAAATTTAAGACAGATTGCTAAATCTTACGATTATATGAGCAGAAAAATTGAATATATATTTTCATCATTTTCAATATGAAGACCACCTTTTAACCAAAATTAGAAGTGCAGTCATATCCGAATAAAATCCTTCAAAAGTTTTTTTTGTTTTTGTTTTCCTGGTTAAGGGTGGTCTTTGACAACAGTTTGTCATCTTTAGGTGGATACCTCAATATTTACTATATGCTCCATACAAACTGGATAATTTTCATATTTATCATATGAGGAAACTATTAATATTGAAATATCATTAATGTGTGGTATGGTTTTACGCATGTATAAACTAAGATTGTATGACAAAATTTTGGTTAAACAATGAATTTAAGGAATCACCAGTAGAGTAGGCGAAAATACCTATCAAATGCGCTGTGGCTCTTTTACTAGGTGAAATATGAGCCTTTGTTTTTTATATTGCTTTTCATAATATTAACGGCAATGTCTACAATATACAGATGCAGATGCAACACGCTTATATTGTGTGTGTATTATAAAATCTAAAAATATATTGAAACATCAACCGTGCACTTGTATAAATGACTGAAAATACAAGACTTCAGAATATTAATTAATCTAATCAGTCCTGACCAACAGCATCCAAAAGATTGGGAATTTATCTCCCCCCCCCCTTTCCAAAAAGAATGTGTTGCAAGGGGACCTATTGTGACGTCATCGTTGAGTTTCTTGCGTAATTTATTTACATACATGCAGACGTCAACTAGACCGTTTCAGTAGCAAGATGAAATAAAGGCTAGGATTTAAGCATTTTCTTTTCTGCAATAATACTTTTAGTGATTTCATTTGTCAGCTGAACATTTATATTTTATTGCTTTAGTATATTAAATTGATCTCTTCCCTTCTTGCTGGCAACATTTAGCAAGTGTAAGGCTTAGTTGTATAAAATAATATGCCATTTCTATAAAACATTTTTTTTTTTTTAGTTTTTATGCTATTTTCATGACAAATATATTTGTATGAGCAATATAACTATGGTCAATCAATAATAAATTTATTTTGTAACATTATTACACGAAATGCACCATTATTATTAAAAAAATATCGTAATTTGTCATTTCTATAAAACATTTTTTTAGTTTTTATGCTATTTTCATGACAAATATATTTGTATGAGCAATATAAATATGGTCAATCAATGATAAATTTATTTCTTTAACATTATTACACGAAATACACCATTATTATTGCTCCTAGATAAGAACTCGCCTCTCGACTAACTTGGTATCCGCCACCGGAAATAGTCATGAAATGTCAAAATTAACATACTGCACATTCCTCGAGCAAATTCTTAGCATTATTTTTGCTTGTCTTTTATCAAATTATTTTCAAATATATATGTTTTATTTTGCTCGAGGGGTGTGCACTACTTCAATTTTGGGAATTTGTTGTAAAAATAGTGGGAAAAAATAGCAATTTCCGGAAAGAACGGATGTTTAAATCCTGTGAATACCTCTAATCAACGTACTTGCGAAATTTTGTTATGCATATATCAAAACTACCAATCTTCTTCTACATGTACATAGTAGTTATATTTTTGCAAACTTGTATATCAAAATACGAAAAATTGTGGGCCTTCGAATAATACGTAACGTACTTAGTTCTTTATTTCGGGATTAATTAATTTTGAACATAATCTGAGGGTTCCATTTGCGTGATTTAAAGATGTACACTCGAACATTTATATAATAAAACACTTAAAACTGAGAATCTAAAGATAATTAAATTGGGAAGTCATTGAAAATAATCATGACTGAAATATAATACTCGGCAATGTTTAACAAAGAGTTTTTCAAAAGCTCCAATACTTAAGAAAAATGCATTCAGAGTATAGTATGAGAATCGGCCTTGCTCTATAATTATTATCTATTTAAAGCTAATTCTGGTATAAAATAAACAATTCAAGTTTAATTTTCTATATAAAAAAAATAATAAATATGAAAACCAATATCAATCACAAAAAATAAAGATTTTTTTTTTTGGTTAAAAATTAATATACCAAATAACTGTGTTTAAATATTCATGTTATTAATAGGTGTGAACGTCTTCTTCATTCAATAATTATAATTTGTTTCTATACGCGTACTGTGATTTTCTTAACAGTTCAGAAATGACTGTCGCGTAAGAATTGTAAATATTTGTTGATACTACTCAGAGAGAATTGCTCATCAATTTCAACTGCCTTTTATATAGTTACATTGTTTATTGGTAATCTCATTCTGAGTAAGCTCCGCCCATTAAACTAATTAACCCCGCCCACTGGGACTGCTGGGACTGCTGTCTGGGACTGCTGGGACTGCTTTCTGGGACCGCTGGGACTGCTGGGACCGCTGTGGGACTGCTCTGGGACAACTCTGGGACTGCTTTAGCAGTCCCAGAAAGCAGTCCCCGGGACCGCTCTGGGACTGCTTTGTGTCAGGTTGGGTCTGGTTGGTACTGTAATAAATCATTTAAGCTCGCTGCTGAACAAGAAATAGTTAAGGAAATGTACAGAAAGTCAGCGATGATTGTCAAGCAAGAGTCATTGAGACTTGTAAATAAAGTTTCTTGATACAATCAGTCTCATCCCAATCCATAAGTTGAACATGCATGTAGGGTATCTTCATATTTTGCATTTGCTTGGCCTTGGGGTTTTAGGTCCCGAAATTTTGGTACGACTTAATTTATATTAAAAGAGTCGATGTAACTTTAATTTGGTAGTGGACTCGCAATGTATTGTGTACAGTTCATATCAACTATATGTATATATGATACAGCAATAGTAAATTAATAAAAGTTCCTTTTCTATATTTCTGTTTTTCCTTGTTGTATTTTCGATTCTTTGATTTAATTAACTTTCCAATAAGTTCTTTGAAACATTAACTGAACGCTGTTAATTATTTAAGGTATTTTGTAGAATACAACTTTCCAGATCTGGTACCGAACCACAACTGATTTTGTTGATCAACAGCTGTTGAGATGATTTCTTCAGAAGTACCAGTATCTATCTCATGCATGTACTCCAGACTTGGATTGATGATGAAGAGGGATGCGTTTGATGCCATGATAACATTCCCTAACTTGTCCACTGATGCACTCGCTGAATACAAAGTCATGTTTACTTTGTTCATCTTTACTGAGGAAATTCGATCGGCTTCCAAAGGCATCAAACCGTCTGAATTTGTGCGAATGGCAGCTATTTGACCATTTAGAGATATGATCTGATTTATGTTATCTGACGCCTTCTGTGTATGGTAAACGTTTTCAACTTCTCCATTTATATTCAGTTTGATAACAAAGTAATTTTTATCTTCTGCACAATAGGCAACAACGTATATTCTTTCATCTTGGCATAAAATTCCACAAAGATTTGAAGCGTACGAAGAAAGATCGGCCACAACTTTTATATCTCCTTCCCGTGATAATAAGCTTATAGTAGGTTTGGCATTGGCACCATATCCCTGTGTTAAAAAAACGTCACCAGAGGGTGTGCAACAATTGAATACAGGTCTGAAGTCTAATTCAAAAGTTCTTATCACCTCTCCTGTTGTATTTTGAAGATGTACTGTGTTTACCAAATGGTTCACCCATACTAGATCATCTTCAGATACACTGATTCCGTGTATGTTTGCCCATGTGTGGTCTAAAGTATGATGAAGTTTTACTTTTATTTTCTTTAAAAACAAGCTGGAAAAAGTTTTTGCAGACGTTTCGTCTGGTACAGTATTTTGTTTTTCCTGAACCAATATGTCTTTATTCTTTGGCAAAATTTGATTGATCATCTTTGCTTTTGACTTTTTAAAGCTCTCGGCTTTAGAATTCAGGCGTTTGTTTGCTCTTAATTGTTTTTCCTTCTTTGGAATGGGTTTTCTATTAAAGGCCGAACATCTTACTCGTGGTTTTGTGGTTTTTTTCTGTGTACCCTGGTTTTTAAATTTTTCGGGCAGAATTCTACCTTGAAGTTCTTCTTTCTTGTCTCCGTTTTTCTTCAATTGTAGCCTCAGTTTAGAATTAGGGTGCTTATTTACTTTTTCCTTCCTCTCTTTGGTGTGTTTAATTGACGATCGAAGCACTCTCTGAACCTTCTTCGTTTGAAATCCTACATCAAGATGGGCATCTTCTTCCGATTTCCTCACGGTTTTTCTTTTCAATGGCTTTTTCGTTTTGACACCCTGATGTTTTGCCTCTTTATCATTTGATTCACCTACATCCGTACGATGATGTTTACGTTCTCTAGCTGACTGCGTTTCTCTACTATCTGTTCTTTGATCATCATGCTCTGACTGGATCCATCTCCGTTTAGAGTTTTGGACTTTTGTCCGACTTTTATCATTATGATCTAACTGGATCCGTCTCCGTTTGGAATTTTGGACTTTTGTCGGAATATTTTCATTATGCTCTGAATGGATCCGTCTCCGTTTGGGGTTTTGGACTTTTGTTGGACTATTATCTAAAAAAAAAATACTATCATTGTTCAAAGTTAGAGGAAAAAAGAAGCGATTTATAGTTCAAGATTGGTATTGATAATAAAATATTTTGTTTCACACATAGAACTTTTTAAAATTTCTTTTTATTATTTTTAGTTTGGTGTGTGTGTAGGTCTGTATGTTTTATTTTTATTTTTTGGCAACCTTCTGAAGTCAATGCTAGAAGAGCTATTGAATGCTAAGTTAACTTAGAAGGATTAATATTGTTAAATGACATAATGTTAAAAAGTAGAGATGCGATTAGACTAGACATTAATAATGCATATAAACTTAACCTGTTCAAGGACTTATAAATTGGGCATGCATAGAAAACAAAAGTAAAACTTTAGATACACAAGGACTTATAAATTCATAAAAATGAAGTTGTCTACTAAAGACGATTTTTAAAAAATCCCAAGCAAAATATTGGACTCTTTATGCATCCAGAGCAGAATTTAAGCAGCCTGTTTTATCAATGACAATGACTTAAATGACACACCTTGTCCATATTGTCCACTCTCACTTTCCGTTTCCGGAGGTTATACGTTTTCAAGGGTACCGTCTCTTTGCCTACAGACCTGTCTCTGGTAGCAGATTTAGTTTGTCTTTGGTGTTTTTTCATTCTTGATTCATCTGCAAATCAAAAATACGTTCATTTTGCGTGGAGCAGAATTTCTGACATTCAGAAACTGACAAATGTAAATTTCTCGGTCGTGGTACATATAGATCTAGTAACTACAGGTATTTAATGCTCGGAAGTGGTAGACATTCGAAAAATTATCAAAACGACTGTAAATTTCTAAAATTGTGTTTAATTTCATTTAGAAATTTTAATCGTTTAAAAAAAATATTAAAAACTTATCTATTTACTTTAGCGTGCCCAGATTATTCTTAAGAACTTACTTTTAAAGCTGCTCATTTATTTTAAATTTTCTTTTAACATTGGACAGAAGAGCATTTTACACGGAAATATTTCTAATCCTTTTTAAAGTATATACATGTATATATATATACATGTATATGTGCGTGTATATTCTTAAGGTGTTTGACATGTAATTTTTAAGTTCTTATATTTGTAAAGTTTTTATGTCTACATTGGTATACAGCGCTTTAGAGTAATTTATATTATATTTAGCGCTTTATAAATTGTGTATAATAATAATAATAATTATTATTATTATGAGAAATCGCACTTAACGCAGAGGTACTAGTTAAAAGGAATGTTAAGGATAATGATAATAATGAAATGTAATAAATTTTACTTTCATAAGTCTGGTAAATTAAGGAAGAACATAGATGGTAACAAGAATTTATCAACATTTTGATCACTAGTACTTACAAAGTGTCCTTGAATAGGATTTAATTCATTATATTAAGAAATTACTTTTATTTTTAAGAAACAGCTTCTCAAATAAAATTTGTATAAAAAATATCATAAATGTAAGTCACATTCACTACAAGTCAAACTGCCTTGTTTTACTGTCTAAACTTGAATGCAAGTTTATTAACCAATACCGTCCGTATTAAGTAAGAATATACTAGTATATTTAGGATAATGGGTACTACATTCTCATGTATCAATGTGTTTATGTATCATTATGTATCATACATATTTATAGGCATTCGTTAAGATCCAATATCCTGGAATAAAAATGTACACAGAATCTTATAGTCATTATAAACGCTTCTGTTGATGCATATAGTTTTGACGTATGTAGCACTAGTCCCCTAAGTTTCTTTTAAAAAAAAGTACTTATTAGTTTTTGCAAGGTGTACACATAATTTACTTTCATTCAATCTGGAAACTTACCTGTTCGATCTTCCAACGCCTTTAACATGTATATTCATGCTTATCCAACATAATAATGAACGATAACTCCTGATCGATATTGTGCGCAGATTTACTGCAGGAGTTTAAATTTAATAATACTGACCTTTATTAAGTATATTTTTAGGTCACCTGAGTTTACTCAGGTGAACTATTGCTATCTGTTTTCGTCTGTCGTTGTGCGATGTGCGTTAACATTTGAACATTTTCAGCTTCTTCTCTGAAACCGCTCTACCAATTTCAACCAAATTTGGTATATAGTATCTATGGGTGAAGGGGAAAAATAAATGTGAATTTCGTTGTCCCTGTCCACTGGGGCTTGAGGTGTGGGGCTAAAACTACCAAAATTAATCTCTAAAAATCTTCTTCTTTACTCCTGGACATCAAGCAGTCAAACTGTTGGTATGAGCCCTCTACCAAAATTGTGAAATTCATGGCCCAAGGGTCAGGGGGTCTGGTGTTAGGGCGGGGCTCTGTTGAATATATAGTGAAAATGCATTATTTCTTCAAAATCTCCTTTGCTCCTGGGTATTAAGCAAACAAACTAAATGGATAGTTATGATGAGGAAGGGGCGTGCGTCTACCAAAATTGTAAATTTCATAGCTCCTAGGTAAGGGATTCTGGTGTTAAGTTGGATCTCTGCTCACGGGTATTACGCTGATGAACTACATACATGTAATTATGATGAGGGAGGGTGCCTCTTCGAATATTGTGAATTTCATGGCCCCTGGGTCAGGGATTCTGGTGTTAGAGCCGGGCTCTTATGTTTATACATTGTATAGTGAAAATGCACTATTTCTTTGAAAATCTTCTCCTCTGATGAAGAAGGATGCCTCTTCCAAAATTTTGAATTTCATGGCCCCTGGGTCAGGGGTTCTGGTACTAGGGCGAGGCTCTAATAATGCAATAATTCTTTGAAAATCTTTTCCTCTGCTCCTGGGTATTAAGCCGATGAACTAAGTAGATAATTATGATGAGGAAGGGTACCTCTTCAAAAATTGTCAAAGATATGACCCCTGGGTGGGGCTTATTTATCATATACTGAAAATGAATTTATGCTTTGAACATCTTCTCCTCAGCCCACAGTTCACGGTAGCTCAGTCGGTAGCGCGACTGACCTAAGTCGATAAAAAAAAAAATGGGTAGCAAATGTTCCTTCGCCATGCGCTCGGCACTTTAAAGTGAAAGTTGCGGGTCCTTCGGATGAGACCTTAAAAACCGAGGCCTCGTGTTACGGCAGGCGTTGGCACGATAAAGATCCCTCACTGCTCAATTGCCCTGAGTGCCGAGTAAAGGTCAAAATTTGAAGTCCTTCACCGGGATGAGTAAAAAATTCTCGAATGGGACGTTAATCAACATACAATCAATTAATTAATCAATCTCCTCTGCCCCTTGGTATTAAGCAAACAAACTTAATGCCTAGTTATGATAAGCAAGGGTGCCTCTTTCAAAATGGTGAATATCATGGCCCCTGGGTCAGGGGTTCTGATGTTTGGTTGGGGCTCTATTAATCTTGTACAAAAATGCATTAATACTTTGAAAATCTTCTCTTTCCCTGAGTATTAAGCAAACAGACTAAATGCAACAATAATAATGTAAATTATTATAAATTTAAGTTAAAGTGCCCTTTCTCTGCTCCAGGGTATCCGGGAGGCAAACAGAGTACAAAAATTTGTAATAAGTGAAGCAAATGAGAGTTACTCCCGTTTGCTAAATTGTGCTTAATCAAGAAATCCTTGTATATAATTTAATTAACAGATTATTTGATGGAATGAGAATACAAGAAAGAATGTTTTTTTTTTTATATAGAAACAAAATAAAAATGAGTGCTTGGTTTATACAAGCAAGGCATTCTTGCCTGGAAAGCAGTATAAAAGATTGAAATAAAGATTATTTATGTAGCAAAATGGCCAATTGTACTTAGTATGTGTTGTGTTCTGTTGGACAAACGACGTCTTATTGTCAGGTAAATTCAAGGAGATCAGAGTTTAGTTGGCAAGAGACAACAATAAGTTGATTTAAGCTTTATCAAAGTGAAAAAGTGAACAGAGAGCTAGGGTAATTAGGAGCCCGAAGTGTGGATCGATAGCCCCCCTCCCCCCTTTTAATTAAAAAATGTAAGAGCTTGTAATTTCTAAAAAAAAAATTCCCTTTCAACCACATCCATATGTCGTTCTATGCAAGCAGATTGTACTTTTTCTTATGTTTAGAGAATGACTTTGTACGGTATACTGTAATAAAAACACACAAGGTAAGAAACAAAATTTGTTAATAAAAGGGGGGTTCCCTGCTTTGAGACATATTTCCAAGGTAATAACAATGTTACCTGTCATGATTTTGCAAGCACTCTGTCAGGGAGATGTTCTTCTACTAGTCCCTTTACCTTAAACCCCCTTATTAGTATTTTATGCCGTAATTGTACGAGCTATTATTCGGATGCATAAATTTTCTCCGTGACCAGTGACCACATAACTAATATGAAACCATCTACATCCGAGTCTGGGAAGTATCCTGGACATTTCCCTATGATATTATCCTTGATCCTGTATACCTGAAAAGATAATTTTGTCGGAAGTTGTTGCTTTGTCCTCATGATGACTTTAGTCCCTTTAAGAAACAATTGTGGACCCAGGCCTCAATAGAAAATAAAAGATCGTGCAATATCCGTGTACCTGACCATGTGGTGACGCATGAACCTATTTTTATCTTTATGTTTTATGTGCGTCTCTGTGACCATAGAAAAAAATCTACAGTAACTAGGAGAATTTTATTCAATCCAATAAGTAATTATTTTATAATATTTAAAGACAAACATCAAAATTATCATTTAAAAACATGAGCTAAGTAGTATGATTAAGATTATGAAATACCGGCAAATAGTGGCCCTGTACAATATAAGAAACTTAAACATGAAAATAATGATGACAATAAAACCTTGCAGATGCAGCGGACAAAGGTAACTTTGCATGCTTTGGCTCTTCGATAAAATTAAAGAAATGTTTATAATGCTGGTTTCAGAGGAATTATGTTCTGAATCATGACCATTAAGGAAGCTCTCAACACTTACTGAATTGAATTTTGTCATATAAATGTGCACATATATTCTGAGTTTATCTAGTTCGGGTAACTGTCATAATTTTCCGGAAAAAAATGCTTAAAGACGATGAAATACTAGTAAACAGAAAACACTGGGAAAAATACATGCAAATGGTATTTTCAATTACTTTATCTTTGTTTAATATAATGTTAAGAATACTTTACCCATTTCAAATTTTGCCATTTACTGTAGAATTCATCCTCACAATCAAATAGTTTTGGACCCAGTACGCTCCTCACAAACTCTTAGCTTGCAAAGGAATTTCCATGTAAAGGGGCAGATCACTCTAACTGCAAAAAAAAAATAACCATGGAATTAGAACTCTTCGGTGAGCAGTGTCAAGCAATGTAGATTAATTTTGAGCCTTGCCTATTAGCTCAGTCGATCACAATGCAGCTAACTTCAGAAGTGTTCGTCCCACTTTGCATATAGTGGTCTATTAAACTGGTACTTCTTTTTGGTAAACTGGTACGTGAAGACTGACAATGCGCCTATTCATATATCTTGCATATGCTATCGCCAGTCTGTTCCAAAGTATTCTTGTAGCTATATAATGTAAGAATATGAACTCTAAATGTTTAC